TAAACTTGTTGTTGAGAGACAGCAGACAATTCCACTATTAGATGCCCATTTATAGATTCAACTCACAGGACGGCGAGGACTCTCCCTTGCCCTACGCCGCGTGGGGTCCTCCCAAGGTGCTTCCTCCCTCCGAACTTAAGGGGTCTCTGGGTTTGATTCTGGTCAAGGGGTATGTACCTTGGTTGGGGGGCACATCCCAGTGGGGAGTGTGCAGGAGGCAGCTGATCAATGTTTCTCTCTCATCAATGTTTCTAACTATCCCTCTCCCTTCCTCTCTGTAAACAATCAATAAAATATATTTTAAAAAAATAAAAAATAATAGTAAGCATGATTGGGGTCAGACTATCTCAGATTAAAATCCATATTAATAAGAATGTTGATATGTAGAAAATAAAACTTAAAAGTTCTGTTACTTTTTTTAGTACTGTATCCTAGGCTGCATTAAATAGGAAGGAGGGTTTTTTTAATATATTTTATTGATTTTTTACAGAGTGGAAGGGAGAGGGATAGAGAGTTAGAAACATCGATGAGAGAGAAACATCAATCAGCTGCCTCCTGCACACCCCCCACCAGAGATGTGCCCACAACCAAGGTACATGACCTTGACTAGAATCAAACCCGGGAACTTGCAGTGCACAGGCTGACGCTCTATCCACTGAGCCAAACCAGTCAGGGCAGGAAGGAGTTCTTAAAACCTGATACATTGATGAAGTTGTAGTACTTTTCATATGTGCATTTGAATTGGAAAATTTCAGAGTTGTTGCTGTCCATTAATTATGATCATTTAAATTTTGACCTGAAGAAACAGAGTCGAGTTCCGTTTTCTGGCTCCTAGGAAGAGATTTGGATCATATTTCAACCTCAACTAATATGTGTATTATACAAGCACAGGGTTTTAACAGTGACCACAGGCACTCCCCCCCCCCTCCGCCCTGCCCCGCCTCAGGACTCTTCATGGCAAACAAGCACATTGGTGGAAGAAATTAGAGTAATTTCCCAAAAGAGATGAGAACTGAATGTTAAAGGAAGAGTCTCCAGGCTAGTAGATGAGGGGTATGGAAAGGGCATTTGAGGCAGAGGGAACAAGTCCTCAAAGTAGGAGAGAAAGGAACATAACCAAGAGGATTGCTGGAACATTTTGAACAAGGGTAGAAATCAGATAGATAAATAGGCAGTAATTATCCTCTAATTGGTGGTAGGTTATTTAACATTTTTAGAAAGAATGATATAATTAGATTCACGTTTCAATACAAGAAATAGCATCAGTGTAGAAAATAAACTGGAAGGGGAAAGATGAGAGGTAGGAAGACTGGCCTGTTCAAAGACTGGTCCTAAGACGTAAATTGAGTTGGGCAGGGAAGATGAAAAGAGGTTGGATAGATGATGTTGCAAAGCAGAACTCTCAGGGCTTGGTACCAGGGAGGGTAAGTAAAAGGGAAGCATTTAATACTGTCTAGGTCTCTGGCAGGTGGGGCTATGAGGTACCAGCTATCCTGGAAGGGACAGGACACCTGTCTAAGCCATCACCAAAAGCTCAAATATTTGTAAATGTTTACATATACTCTATCATTGTTATCTTTTAAGATAATTTTTATTTATTTTTTAAATATATTTTATTGATTTTTTACAGAGAGGAAGGGAGAGGGATAGAGAGTTTGAAACATCAATGAGAGAAACATCGATCAGCTGCCTCCTGCACACCCCCTCCTGGGAATGTGCCCATAACCAAGGTACATGCCCCTGACAGGAATCGAACCTGGGACCCTCCAGTCCGCAGGCCACGCTCTATCCACTGAGCCAAACCGGTTAGGGCTTAAGATAATTTTTTAAATCGTGGTGTAAAAAGTATGCTTCAGGAAGATGACCCATATTTAGTCTATGGTGTTGAATAACCTGTCACACACCTGTGAAATAAGAGTCCTCCCCCAGGAAAAAAAAAGCATTGGGTTAATGGAACTACAAAATGGAGCCCTAGTGGGTTTGGCTCAGTGGATAGAGCCAAACTGCCAATGCTCCCAGTTCAATTCCGGTCTAGGGCACATACCTCAGTTGCAGGCTCAATCCCTGGTACTCATCAGGGTGTGTGCAGAAGGCAACCAATTGATGTGTCTCATATCAATGTTTCTCTCCCCCTCCCTTCCACTCTCTCTAAAAATCAATGGAAAAATATCCTGAGGTGAGGATTAACAAAAGAACAAAAAAAATGATTGGAGGAAAATGCAGAATGAGTGGCCTAATGCTAAATAACACAAAAGCAAGATCAGCAAAGAAATTTCTACCAAGTTTACAATTCAGGAAAATAGATTTGAAAGCATTTGTCTCCTGGAATGGAGCTGAGAATTGGGGGCATGTGTGAGAAAGTTACCAGGGCATATTAATATTACTGCCTTGAGGAGGCCCTGTCCTTTCTGCCCTGGGGATAGTTCACTTCAGCCTCTCCTGTGGATCTAGTCAGTCTCTGTAGCCTCACTGAGCACAAACCAGTTGGGATCAGGAACTCTCAGCCACACAACCTCTATCCAGCCTCCTGCCCCTGAGTCCCTTGGCCTCCTTTACACTGGCCTTTAAGCGACAGATGCATCTCCTTGGTCTGGGCAAATCCTTGTTGCCACTCCTCCATACACAGGACCTATTTCTCTCCTCCTGGCTGCCTCGCTGCCAGATGAAGTTGTTCAGACATTGCCCCAGTCAGAAAACTGTACCACTTGAGCCCCAAAGCTTCCTTCTCGGCCTCCAATATTGCCAACTTCAGAGAATCCCTCAGTCCGCAAGCCCAATTTCTGGACCCACCCCTTCTACAGAGACCTGCCTGGATCGCAGAGACCTCCCAGCTACCTAGTCCCAAGGGCATTCTCCTCTGGGCCTACAGATTCACACTGGCTTGAAATGTTCCCTTTAATGGGTGGGCCTCTGCTGGTCCTTGCTTCGTCCCCCTTCTCTCCCTGTCCAACTCCCTTTCTGCCCCCATTGTCTTAGTTGCAGTTTTCATGGTTACATGTGTGGCTCTTTTATCTTACAGCAGGATGCACTTTCCCCAAACAGTGCCATCCTGACTAACGCCTTTGTTTAAGTTGCTTCTGCTGCTGCTGGGAAACGTCCTCCCTTCCTCCCCTGGTCAACTCCTCTTCCTCTGCCTGTGGTGTCAGCTCCCGAGTGCCTGCCTCCCACTTCACAGCCACTGCCGGTTGCACGCTCTCTCTTCCTTGCTCCCTTCGCATCTTGTGACCCTGTCTGGGCTGGGATGGCTTGAGGGCAAGGATGGAGCCAGAGCCCACCGATCGCTGCTGAAATGAGCCCAACAGTGTACGTAGTTCCGAGCCTATGAGAACTTGAGTATGTTTCCATCAGAATGCTTTTATTAAAACTGTTGCGGTGTTTATTTTTGTTTGTTTATGTGGAAAAGGCAATATATATTTACACGGCACAAAATTTCAAAGGTATGCGGGGAGAAGCCTGCCTCCCACCTCCGTCCCCCAGGTCCTGGAGTCCCCAGCAACACTGTTAGCCTTTTCCTTCCAGCCTTGCCCACGCTCCTGTGCGCACTCCTTTCGCAGGAGATCGCTGGTTCTTCTCGGGCTTCTGGCTCCTTCTCGTGGCCGC